ATAAAGTAAAATAAACACATCTCACAGTATCCTGGCTATGCACTCTCTTGACTTTTCATTCTAATTTGAGTTGGAAAATATAGGGAGACAAATCAGGATGCTTCCCATTCTTGGGAGAAGATTTGGTTTCTGAACCAACAAAGCTTGCTTTTTCAATAAGAAGTGAGGCAGAGCTAGGTTCTAGGTGACAAAGCCTTCCTGTTTAGGCCTCTCTCTCAGGTGAGTTACATATTAGATCCATCTGACAGTGGAACCATGAGGTTAAAAGATACACTCTATTACATTTTTAGAATTACATAAAAGAATCTCAACTGCTGTGGTTCCTTATGAAATAATTTCTCTCACACATTTAAAAGGAAGACCCAAACATAAAAGAGAATCTATGCTGAAAGAAAGCTTCTCAAATACAAATGATTCCAATTTACAAAAGTTTCATGTTCCCTCTGCCATATAACCTTTCTTTCATCCTTTGTGAAACCCAAAATGAAAGAAATGTGGAAACCAATTCTGTGCACATCTGTGTACACACACACACACACACACACACACACACACACACTTAGTTTTTTTTTACATTGCTTAATATTGAATAAATGTATTTTTGTCAAAAGACAAGGACTTTTACCCAATTCCTAATAATAATAGCAGTTGCTATTCAGATATCTAAACATTTATATTGTGTGTTCTTGCTTTAAAGGGCAAAAGAAGCAACCTTTTCAAGTTGCTTGTCCCATTAAAAAAATTAATTCCTTGTTGTTTGGAACAAGGGTCCTAATTTTGCTTTTGCAGACTTGGGTGGTGTTGCTAATTACTTGAACTTGCTTGGTGCATCTGTGATTGTACACAGTACAAGCACACCTTAATAAATAACTAAACTATTTTATTTACTTACAATTTGTTTAGGTATGTGTCAATTTTCTTATATTTACAGAGGAAGTTGGAGGTGGCTCCTGCATACTGCTGATGTTATTGTGCGTAGCAACTGTATTCCTTAGTATTGGAGGAACAGCATTGTACTGCAGTTTTGGCAATGCAGAATCCCCGGTATGTATTGACTTTGCAGCCAACGTGGACTTCTATTATACCCGAATACTGCAGGCTATAGAGGAACTTAAGCACTGGATATCCTTTTCATAGAGAAAATGCTGGCACTTCCCTGACAACTGCTAAAGACAGAAAACTGCTTCAAGCATCTTATAACACGGCACTTTCAGAAGATGAACAGTAAAGTACATAAAAAACACCTATGGTCTATGTAGGAGCTACTTTCCAGTAATAAGGAGTATATAAATGGAATTCATGTTAAATTATCATGAGAACTGACTGTCATAATGTTTCTCTTTTGAAACACTTCGCACAGCCACTCTTCCTTGAAAAATGAAGAAGAAAGAAAAAGTGGCTACCCTCTGTACAGTTTCCAGTCCAGACATAACCATATGCAATTTACATAAAGTTACTGCAAGACTGTTTGTTTTTTTCCCTAGCTGATCAAAAAAAATATTGTCTCAATCATGCAATAAGTCCACGTTTTATGGGTTTGGTTAATGTCTGTCTTTTTAAATTCTAGCAAGTCATATAATTTGATTGGAGTAACAGCCAGGTCTAGGTGTTTGCCTTGCATTTCAGAATGTAGCAGCTGTCATAAGTGGTGCATCCGTTGCTTCATATATAGCACTAGCAAACTGGAGCTTTTTAAGTAAATTCCTAAAAAGTGGATTTTAAAAACTAATACACAGAACAAAATACAGGATGTTAATGTATCTTACTGAAAACAGTTCAAAGTACCAACTTTGTTCTTTAAAAAAGGTCACTTGGGCCACTTCTCACATTTTATTTTTTGCTGTTATAAGAGTAGTACACTTTACAGTGACAGATATGTAAAATGAACAAAATTGGCTTTAGATGATTATTTGTTATATTTATAGTATACCCCATATTTCCTCCAATAAACTCAAGGCTGTTTTTTACTCAACCAGATTATGAAGGGAAAAGATATCTCAGTAATTATGCAAAGATATAAACATATCCACTGGCTACCTGAGATGCATCTCCCGAAAGGACTAAGGAAGACGAAGCCAGATTTAATTGGCTTCACTCCCCTGACCAAATAGTGTCAGGAGCTGCCCCAGTGACACAGCTGCACCACTGCCTCCTTCTGGCTGTTGAGCTAAGATTATGTTGTCTTCACAACCCCACAGTAAATTGTGTGCATTTCCCCCCTTTTCTTGCCCACAATTACTATTTTTTTAAGTGAGCTTGCTGTTTTAGTCTGTTTTAGCAAGACCAAAAACCCAATCCAAATATTTTTTAAAAAAATCTCAGCACCAAATGTATTGCAGCACCTTCAAGACTAACAAATTTATGTCTGTATGAGCTTTCATAAATTACAGGCCATTTCTTCAGACACATCTATCTTCACGTGTCTGACAAAGCAGATTGTGATCTACATAAATTCACACTGGAAAAAATTACTAGCCTTGAAGGTGCCACAATACATATGTATGTGTTTTTGCTAAGCTGTTTTAAACAACCTAAATGATGGATTGAAATGGATTAAATGAGATTGACATTTAAAACAAAAATAAGAAACAGGAATAGCACCAATTGAAAACTGCACTAAATTTAACTGCATACTAGCATGGTTGGTTAATGTTTAGGGCTCGCAATTCGGAACTTTCTGCCTGTAGGGAATACTTCATTGTGGATTCTCCTGGATAAGTCCTACCTATGATAGAATTGTCCGGGCATGATTTAAGTTACAATGCTCAACAGATACAAGGCACTCAACATCTCCCATCATGACTGGGTAATTTCCAAGAACCCTAAAGTGGGAGGTGGTTGAGTGGAACACAACCTCAGCTGGCCAACTCTTGTGCCTTAGAACTTTCCCAGTCTATCCCAGTGCCTGCAAGACTTGTGCTCAGTATTTATGATCAAACTGTGTTTTGAGCAGCATCTCTCCATAGTTGTTCTCTTTTGGGACCCAAGATTCCCTGTAAGATAGTCTGAAAACAGTGATGTAGGGAGCAGATAACAAGTATGGAGCTCTTCAGTATTTTGCTTCACACTTCAATAATTGTTGAATATGAGACACAGAAGGCATTCTGTAGGATTCTCTACAAATTTTAGTAAGCCTTATCTTGATTTAAAAAGTGAACTGTCATGTGCCACAGAGGTCTGATATTCAAGAAATGCAAAATACACCCCACTGAATATCCCTAAATAATTGTTCCATATTTCAATGAATCTTGGATAACATACATAAAATGCATCTAGAAAAAGCAAAGCAAAAACAAAGCGTGCCGCTTATATACCTTCCCATAGTGCTTCAAGCACTATCTGGGCGGTTTGCAAGTTAATTATGCAGGCTACACATTGCCCCCCCCCCCCGTGAGCTGGGGACTCATTTTACCAACCTGGGAAGGATAGAAGGCTGAGTCAACCTTGAGCCGGCTACCTGGGATTTGAACCCCAGGTCATGAGCACAGTTTGGATTACAGTACAGTGGTTTAACCACTGCGCCACAAAGTTGTTATCTCAGTTCAGCAATAGAGAAGATTGTCTTTGTGAAGGTGAAATGCTTGCTAAGATGCTTTTGATAATGCTTTCAGAGCATTTTATGAAGTGTCCTGGTGGTCTTGTCTAAAAGAAAAAAAAATCAAAGTTTGATCATTTTCTGATGGATTCACCTGTTAATCTGTTGAGCATGATCTTGAGTTCCATGATGGTAGAAAAGTGGGATGTAAATGTAAAAAGTAAATGAACAAAACTAGTGGGCATTCGCAAGTCCTTGTTATGTGCCATTAAGTTGCTTCTGATTTATGGTGACCTTAATACGATTTTCAAGGCATGTGCGATGTCCAAGAAATGGCTTACCATTGCTACTACCCCAGTGAATTTCCATAGCCAAGTTGGGAGCTGAATCCAGTTCTTCTGAGTCTTAGTCTTACACCACACTGGCTCCCAGGTCCTTAGCTGTACCTACATAGTCCTCTGGATGTTGGCCAGTACAATTTGCACTATAATTACTTATTATGATTGTTTACCTTCTTCTTTCTGAACTCTTTTCAATATTTGAAGATAATTGTGATGTATTATCTCCCATTTAAATGTTTTTCTGAATTAAATATATTCAATTTATTCAGCTTTTATTCTTGAATCTGTATCTTTGGTATTTGCTGTTTTAAAAAAGATTATTTGAAACATAATGGAAAATTGGCATGCTTAGTCATCATAGTGACTAAAGAACTATCATAATTCATAATGCATTTGTGTCCCAGTCGTTCTCTGAGAAACATCTGTCTCAATTATATTTTGACCTGCTGCATTCTGTTGATCCTGCCTCCTGTACAATCAAACTGGCATGGGCAATTTGTGGTTCTCCAAAGGTTCCGTACCATTGACTCCGCTGATTAGGGCTTACAGGAATTGTTGTCTCATCTACCATTAACTGAAGGGCTACATACTGCCCACTCTATTCTAGCTTTTCTCCCATGGGCTAATGATTTTTGCTGACCCTCCTACTTTTTCTATTAAAAAGAAACAAAGATTTTGCATTGTAAAACTGGAATACGGTGGGGGTTTTCCTAAAATGTTATAATAAATAGGCTTGATAGTAAAGCAGGTTAGATATTGGGAGCCAACATCAAATGAACTGAAGAGAAAAGGGCCAGAAAGTCCAGTGCTTAATGAGGTAAGTTTAGCAATTATTTACAGAAAGCGAACACATTTTGGAGTTTCCTTCTTCACAAGTTGGCATTTTAAGAAACTCAGCACCAATCATTCAGATCTCTCTTCCTATCTAAACAAGGCATCTCATGAAGGAGAAGAACATCAAAACTTATTAGTGGTCTGTTACTAAGATCTCAGGACTAATCTTTCTGTACTTTTTACCTTTAGTAGATCCAGAATTAGTCTTACGTAAGGTAGGACCCAGTGAAATTCATGTAAGCTATGGTACCTAAGTTCTATTGATTTCTGTGGGTTTCTTCTAAGTATGATTTTATCTGGATCCAGCACAATGGCTATGACTGGACAACAATATCAGCCATGAGTCTGCAGGAATCTTGGTACACTGTAAATGAACAGAGTATTCATGGACAGTAATACCACACATAATACAGTCCCCATATAGTACTTATTTGCTATAGCTTGCATGATAAGGTGGCCATTTGTGGGGCTCAGCAGGAGACTAGTATAACTAATGGAGGTAAACTGGGCCTCAGGGAGACTTGGGGCCTGTCTACCTGCTCCACACCAGAGGTAGGCTGGGCCTCCATAGTTACTGTCATAAGATATAATGTTAAGTGTCCTGGTTAGTACTAGTTCAGTGAGCATTCAATTTTCTTGGAATGCATCCTGAGTGCTAAGCAGGGTATTACTGCTTTGTCTTGTTTTATAAACACAGAGAGTATGAGCAATTCAAAGTGTTATTCCCCAACAAACTAAAGAAAGAATCCATCATTTCTTTTAATTTTATTTATGGATTCTGAGAACTAGTTAAAACTGCTTTAGGCCAACTGAGCTAACAGGCCAACTGAAGCTGTGTTGAACTCAACCACTTTGCACGTTAAGGATGTTGGAAATTACATAGAACTATCTTCACTTTAGGATTACCATCAACTTGCACTTTGTGCAGGCACAGTCACTGTTGTCTTTAGGCAGGAGGAGATTTGGATCTGGCATAACTGAGTTCCTTCCTTACTCCAGTCCTCCTCTGACCACCACCATCACCTTTTTTTTCTATTTTTTTCCTTTTTTTTGTTTTTGGCTCTTCTTCCAATAGATCTTAGCCAACAGAACAGTTCTAGTGACAGATTGCTCTACCAGCAGGTATCTGAGATCAGCTAACAGAAGATTGTATTCCCAGCAAATGAGCATTTCTAGTCCAAAGAAAGGTTTCTTTCCCTTTGGCTAAAGCATCACCCACCCACCCACGCTTAGAATTGCACTTGTAGGCTGATTTGTTGGGCAAAGAACAAACTAGGGTGGCAACAGCATCTGAGTTTGCATAGAGCCAAACTCTGCTTAGTGAGTCCCTCTGCAAAGAGGAGCAATTTGGGCAGCATACACTAGCATGATGCTTGTGACTGATAAATCAAGATGGTTGCAGGTCCTGGTTAGCAGTGTTGCATGAATTGGACCCAGTGTCTTTTCTTTTCTTTTCTTTTTGGCTCTTCTTCCAATAGATCTTAGCCAGCACATCAGTTCTAGTAACAGACTGCTCTTACTCCATTTAAGGTGCTACATATTTACTAGTGGTATATATGTTGCATGTTGTGTATAAATTTAGGCTGTTGCTGTTTGTAGAAAAGGAAAAGGTAACTTGGCAAGTGAAGTGAAATCATAAAGACTCTGTTGCAAGGGTAAGCTTTTGCCATTTGGAGGAATAGTGATCATCATACAAAGTCATACAAAATAGATTCCTTTTTTTCTTAATACTTGCGCCACCTTTAGAAAAACAGTGAGTAACAGCACTGCATCAATCCTGCATATGTCTGAAAATATTAGCCTACGATGTTAGTGTAAAATTTAACTGCAGTGTTATTATGCACATAGGCTATTGCCGTGCTTCAGTCTTACAATTAGGATCCAGAAGAGTTTGTTGGCTGAACAGAAATGGAAAAAATGTCAGTTTTTTGTTTGTTACCATTCTGCAGATATTCTTTTAGTTCCTCTGAATGTGGGAAATGGTTTTGGTAATTAGGAAGTAACTTTGAATTAGAGACTACTTCCCTGCCGCTACATGGAACCTGGCCTAAGATTTTTGTTTTTGCAGATCAGCTCTTACAGTGAGATACATAAATTGCAATTGTACATGTTTTGTCTCTGAGATGATGATGATGATAGAATAAATGTCTGTTATGTCTACCCAATTCTCTATGTGCACGCTCCTAACTTTTTTGTGTTATACAGTACTATAGCAATACCTGGGTTTTTTTTTCCAAAGAAGGCAAGAGTTTTAAATTGTTACTGGCTGGTTCAGAACATGTTTGCCTGTCCTTATTAAGTCAACTTGAATTGTAAAACCATTTTCTTAATCTTTTATTTTGTGTTTTTATGATGAAGTGTTGATAAGCATGCCTTCATTCGCTATAATGTATTTATAATTACTCTGTAGTTAGTATATGTTTGAGGTTTTGTAATTTTTGGTTTGGTGTTCTATTGAATATTAAGTTAATGCTCAAAGCAACAATGGATTTCACCTCTGTTTTAAATGTTTTGTGCACCTGACTACCACCAAAGCTGGAAAGTATAACTTTAATGTACTTATTTTAAAGTATGCTATGTACAGAGATATCAAGAAGACTTGTACTTGAGGTTTGTTTTGGCAGAACTGATTGAAAGGTAATTTTATTGCACGTTTGAGAAGAGAAATTTAACAAAAATATAGAACAATCTCACTTTGCACTGGGTTGCCAGATTACCCTCCCCCTTTATTAAGAGTTGTTTTATTTCTGTTCATGGCAATTCCACTGAACATAATGGATCTCCCATATTTCAGAACATCCTCTGCTCCATCATCTAAAGAGAAAATATTGCCGCAGTTTCTGTCTCTATTTTTGATACGGCAATCTTAATCCAGCCTCACTTTAAACAGAGTCAGGCTGAAACCACAGAATCCATATAACATTTCCTGTAGAAATCTTGGCTGAGGTAGGGGGAAGGGAGAAGATATGGGGTTGGTGAGGCAATGTCCAGTAATGGCTCAGTTCTCTTGAGGTTGATCTCATTTATTAGCACTCTATAAAAGCAGGCTAGAATATTTTGTCCGTTTTCACATACTGCTTCATCACTCCATGATCATGAATTACAGCTAGATACAACAAATTAAAACATTAGTAGTGTTTGGCACGATCATTCGTGTGTTTTGCGATGACATTTTTCAAGAAGTTGGTTGTAAAACACAAATATGCTCCATCTGGCCTTTTACAGTAATGTTATTGTCTCTCCATGGTATCTTGAGCCCTAATTCTGCAGACTTGTTATGGAACTCTAACTCATAAGGCCATGCTCTTGTGTAAACCTGAGTAGAGGCTCAACTCAAATGTTGATCCAAGTTCAATGATAAACATTAAATATAAGTATGAAGATGCTATATAAAAATATCGTAACAAGCAACACTTTGTATTACTGTGAAATAGAGAAAAAAACAGAGGATAGAAAATATGGCTTTTTTTTTCATCCCAATTAACTTAGGCAGAAGTATTTTGGCTTTACTCACTTCATATAGTTGACTCATCTTGGTTATGTATGGCTAGGTATTTCAGGTAAGGTTAAGTGGGAGCAATAGAAAGTTAGGACAGTATATTTATATTGCCCCAAATTCTATTACTGGCATATGG